CTCGTGACTTTGAGGGTTACCCACAGCCAATCAGTGTTCGCCGCCGACAAACGCCTATTAAATACTGTTAGCCAATCAGTGTTCGCCGCCCATAAACGCCTACTCGCCAGAAACGCCCACTTTTGGTCTGCAGAGACCCCCTTCTCCTAAAACTAACCAAATGTGGCTACAGGGCAGCAAATCTGATGCCCCAAATCAAACACTATTGGACCTTCCTGTTTGTATCACTGGCTCCATGTTCAGATCCACTTGATGAACGCAAGTCATTGAACGGTACTGCCCCATAACGGTAAATAAGTAAAAAGTGAGGATGAATCACTAAAAATCATGTTTATTTCACTTAAAATGGTCAAAATAGTTGAAAAATACACAGAACAAAACGGTACACAGCAAACTAAGTAAAGTTCACATTATTTAGTAGAAGGAACTACTTTGTTTAGCAATTTATTTATGTAATTATTTATTAAAAACAATTAGCTTATATGGACCTGCCACCACTGTTGATTCATGTGTTCTGTATCTGTTCAAATCATTTTTGTTTCATTTTTTAAATGAAGTGCCCTTCAGGTGGCAGCACATGTAAAGGTGAACCAGTTGACCTAAAGAAGAGCAAAAACGTTTGATTGGAAAGCAACAAAAATTATCAAATGAAGTCATTTTGAACATCCAGATTAGTTTTTGCACAAACTGCACCAGTGTAAAGTAACATTTCATTGGATGTGTTGACTTTGTTGAAGTTAGTTGGTGCAGGGAGGAACATTAAGGCAGTTTTGAAACTCATATTTTGTCATTCCATCAGGTACTTGGCCACAGTCGGGTTTCGAGGTTCCAGAAAATGCTGCCTCTTCCTTTTGACGGCCGATGGTTTTTCTGAAAAAGAGAAAAATTTTCTAAACACAGTGGTGTTATGTATTTATTTATTTATTGTATTAAGTTTCTCATGGCATAAAATGTGGAAATTCATTTATTTTTCAACCTTGCCACATTTCTGGTGTGTACACAAACCTGTAGTCACTATAATCTGGTTTACAGATTAAAAACCTCACACGTCTAGACTTTTCTCCACAAGACGGAGTACAATATCGCCATGCCCCCCAGCCGTCCCAGGTGCCTTTCACTGTAACACAAAAGCATAAGGATCGTCTTCTTAATGTAGTCTTTTTGATGTTTCATGTTGACTTGGAGGGATCAAATGAGTGTTACCCACATATGTGGCAGTTTATAGAACTTTGGCAGACCTCGCGGCAGTTGTTAACATCGTAGCAGACCTGGCTGTCCAATAGTTTATTTCCTTCACAGAAGGATCCATTATGAGCTCGATGAAGACACGTGCGCTCTCGACTTTGCCTGCCACCTGTTGGCTTGCAGTGGATGTCCTTATCACCAAATGGATATTTGCATGTTCCCCACGTGCTCCACTCTGACCACACACCATGCACTGCAAACACAGAACTGGGACTTAGTTGAAACAATTCTTACTATACTCTTTATTTCAACAATGGCAATTGATTGAAAAGTGCAATCTTTTAAATTAACCTGTTGGACGGATATACGTGACACTTTTAAGAAACTTTACTTCTAAATGAACACATTCATTACTATTATTATTATTATTACTGACCAATCTGATCAATAAGAAAGAAAAATTCTCGAGATTTTTGCTTTAAAACTCAGGAGCCTTGGGTACCTGGACAGTGAACGTTGGTTGAACAGATGGTGGTTTGTCTTTCTTCTCCAGGACATGGTTGACCACCATGTTTGGGGGAAGGGTTATCACAACTCCTGACAGACACCTGAAGGCCCACTCCACAGGTAACAGGACAAGGAGTATAGGGAGACCAAGAACCCCAATTGCCATTGACTAATAAAGAAACAGGTATCAGTAAACACATTTGAGGTAAACGTATATTTGCATGGACCGTTGAAATAGTTAATACATATTTTAAATGAATGCCTAGATGTTTAAGTGTCTATACAAGTGCTATGGAGAAGTTATCTGATGATATCTTTGGAGGTTTTCTTGGCATTTCCTACTGGGAGAAGACTGAAGCAATCCGGAACTTACCAGTGGGACTACATCCCTTCTGGCATGGAAACACCTTGAGATCCCCAAGATGGAACTGGGGTGTTCCTGGGGAAAAGGATGTCTAGGTTTCTCTTTAATACCTGGGTACTCCATGACCACCTGACCTTGGCTCGGTGGAAGAAAATGAATGGATGGTTGTTGTTTACTGTATAAAGGTGTATCTAGAAAAAATATAATATTGTGAAAATGTAAAAAGAAAAAAAATTGTCAATTATTTCAGGAAGTGAAACTCGTACTGCATTACATAGATTCATTACATGGTGAAATATTTCAAGCCTTTTGTTTTTCTTGTCTTTTTGATGATTATTTCTTGCAACTGATGAAAAAGCAAGATTCAGTGTCTCAGAAAATTTGAATATTGTGAAGAGGTTCAATATTGCAAACTCCTGGTGTCTCACCCTGATCAGCTGATTAACTTCTAGGCATGAGCTACAAATGTCTCATGTCTCAAGTCCAGCCCCTCCTGAACCAGAGACGGCATCAGCAGTGTCTTACCTGCTGAGGAGACAAGAAATTGAACTGTTGCTCAGTGGTCCAGTGTCCTCTTTTCAGATGAAAGTAAATTTAGCATGTCTTTTGGAAATCAAGGTACCAGAGTCTGGAGGAAGACTAAAGAGGTCCAGAATCCACATTGCTTGAAGTCCAGAGTGAAGTTTCCACAGTCAGTGATGGTTTGGGTCCATGTCCTCTGCTGGTGCTGGTCCACTGGGTTTTCTGAAGTCCTCAGTCCACGCGTCATCTACCAGGATATTTTAGAGCTCTTCATGCTTCCTTCTGCTGAAGAGCTTTATGGAGATGCTGATATCATTTCCCAGCAGTACTTGGCACCTGCCCACACTGACAAATGGACCAAAAGCTGGCTGTGGAATATTCTAATCTTCTGAGACAATGAATTTTGGTTTTTCATTAGTTATAGGTCATAAACATGAAAATTACAATAAATAACGGCTTGAAATAGTTCACTCTGTGTGTAATTACCGTAATCTATGTAATATGAGTTTCACTTTTTGAAATGATTGACCAAATTAATTGAACTTGTTCACAATATTGAAATTTTTAGATGCACCTGTATATACACTCTCACCGAGCACTTTATTAGGTCCACTTGTTAGTAAGGCCATGCCTCGGCTTGCTAAAGTTAAAACCAGGCATCACAACAGGGAAGAAAGGGGATTTAAATGATACCAAAGTCCATGCTCAATAATCCAGGTATAAAATCCAACAATTTTCAGTCAGGTCTGATGAAGCCTTCTGGATGGAAGGCAAAACGTCTCAGCACAAAAAAGAAACCATCCAGATGACCTGACTGAACATTGTTGGGTTTAAGTGATACAGAATATTCCGTGTTTGTTGGTACCAGATGGGCCGGTCAGTGTATTTCAGAAACTACTGATCAATTGTTATTTTTACACATAAGCGAAACAGGGTTTACAGAAAAGGGCCCAAAAGGGGCAAATATATTCCATGAGTGGCAGCTAGGAGGACAAAAAAAGCTTTGTTTTCATCAGAGGTCAGAGGAAAATGGACAGGCTGGTTTGAGATGAAAGAACGGCAACTGTCGCTCAAGTAGTCACTCACTTCAAACAAAGGTCTGCAGAATACCATCTCTGAACACACAATATGTCCATACTTAACAGATGGGCTACAGTAACAGAAGACCACACCAAAAGCCACTCCTGTCAACTAAAAACAGGAAACTGAGGCGGCATTTCATACAGCCTCTCCAAAATTGGCCAAATAGTTTTGGGAAAAAATGTTGTCTGGTCCGATGAGTCTCTGTAAACCTTAGAGATTATGTTTGGGAAAACTACCAACACTAAGCCCACATTCAATATTGCTGGTGAAGATTCTCAATCTTCCAGGTCACAGTAAATTCAGAAAAGTTTCAAGACAAAAACAACTGGACTTTATTTGTAACAGAAGATGTTTAGTTTTTCATCCGAGAAGCTTTCTCAATTCAAAGAGCAGTGAATGTGGGGTTCAAGTTACAGACATGCGTATGCAGATTGACCTATCCCACCTCAAAGTAGGGGTTTGTTAAGGTCTTTATCTAATTCACAGATGGGCCCCTCTGGTCACATCTGATAGGTGTGACACTGGCTGGGTATCAGTCCTAAAGCTGCATTATAAGTTTTTGAAAGTTGAAATCTGAGGCCTCCTCTGTTTAGAGATTCAATATCCTTTATTCTGATGCCCTGCTTCATCTTTAGTAAGTTGTCTTCACCACGTCTATGCCTAAACACATTGAGTTGCTGTTTTGGCTGTGTCTGTCTTCTTTGTATTTCTGTGTCTTTTCTGCTTATTGTGTTTTTTCATTCTGCTCCTGGTTGTGTCATTCTCTTCCTGATGTATCTGACTGTGTTTTCTGTCAGTTCTCACTCCTCAGCCTGTCTCAGCCTAATCAGCCACACCTGTTTCCAGTCTGTTATCTCTCTCCCCCTCAGCCTAAATTAAACCTCTCTTCTTCACCACTCTGCGTCCGATCATTGTTCTGCCCACCACAGACGACCCGGTCCTCCTTCGTTCTGCCTGTTCCTGTGTTTGCCCGATGATCCGTTCTGTCCCGTTCTTGTTCGCACCTCGTTTTGTAAGTTTTTGCTGTCTCGCCAGCTTTTTGTTTTACTGTTTAAATTAATTATTTTTATTTGAACTCCTGCTCTTCTCACCTGCCTGCCAGTGGGTCTGAGGACTGTATTAAACAAGCAACCGAACCTAATAAAGTAGATGGTGAGCATAGAGCACAGCTAGTAACTGCTGGTTTAGATTTGATCCCAGTACACTCCTACAAGTTGTTGACCTCTCTAGGTAGAAACTTCGATGTTGCCACAAACCTAACCATGTCAACATATGGTAGTTATAATGTCTCTGTATTTATAGTTGGGAAATGCTATTTGTCTCTATGAGACCATTTTGCCATCAGTATCATTGGACAACTAAAGGTCATTACCATATTTTTCATTTGAACACTTTAACATCATTAACTCTATGTTGACAACTGGGAATAATGCCTTTTATGGTTGATTGATAGGTCAAACAGACAGACAGGTGGGTGGTTATGTAGGAGTACCTGGACAGTATGGCAAGTGGTCACAGTTTTCCCTTTGGGTGGCTTCACCTTCACAAGCGTGGCCACGTGGGTTTGATGATGGGGTGGGGTTAGAGCATGAGCGGTGGCGAGTCCTGGAGGAAAATTGGTTTTGTGGGATACAGGAAGATGAACACTCTCCCCAGTTTGACCAACCAGACCAAAAACCATGAACTGACGGGAGAAGCAGAATTAAATTTGTATAATTTGTGTATTTTGTATTTTATTGTGTGTGTGTTTGTGGCTCACCAGGACAAGGACTCTGACAAACGTTGCTCTGAGTGCTCGACCCCTCACATACTTTGCCACCATATTTAGGGGCGGGGCTGTCACACATCCTTAATGACAGCTGTAGCCCCTCCCCACATGTGACAGAGCATGGTCCAGGTGCAGACCATGCTCCCCAGTTGCCATCCACTGCAGAAAACAATTCAATTCAGTTTATTTATATAGCACCAAGCAATTACAGCACTCTTAAAGCTCTGTGGCAGGTAACCATTTATTAGAGACAAATTAAGCAGATTCAGGATGTGGTTAGTAATTAAGGGAAATATGTCTTTAAATAACCCGGTTGGGATGTGATCTAGCAGACATGTGGATGGTTTGGATGAAGCTATTATTTTTGACAATTCAGAGAGCTCAACAGGACAAAAACCGTCCCAAGCTAAATCAGGTTCTACTGACATTATGAAAGTTGTCTCATCTGACACAGAACCAGAGGCAATACTAGGAATGTTGGTTAAAAAATTTTTCCCCCCTAATTTAAACAGTTTTATTTATAAATAATCTCAAGAAATCATCACTGTTAATAGTTGTAGGGATACATGAATCAACACAGATATGATTTTTCATTAGACTAGTTACGGTACTGAAAAGGAACCTGGGATTATTTTTATTCTCGTCAATTAAAGATGAGTAATGTAAAGTTCTAGCTTTACGGAGTGCTTTTTTGTACGTTAGCAGGCTATCTCTCCAGGATAAGTAAGGTTCCTCAACGTTCCTCAATAACATAAACAGTAGAGTTACTGTTTATGTTTATGGAAAAGCTAGCTCTAGCTTTTAAACCACATCAGGTTATCAGTGGAGTTGTCTTCTTACCTGGACAGTTGGGCAACTCACTGCAGTCCTGTTTCTGGACAGAGTCTCCTGGGCAACTATTGCCCTGTGGCTCGGTGTCTGTGGAAGGGGCCGGGTTTGAGCAGGAACGCTGCCGTTCTCTTGAAGGCATGGTTTTGCTGTCCGGCTGGTCATTGATACATGAACCAGAGCATGAAGACCAATCAGTCCATCTGGACCAACTCCCATGGACTGTGAATGCACAGAGACACAAATGGATTTAGACTGGTGGGCTTTGAGACAAATTTTATAGAGTTTAGTTCAAGTTTAACACTATCACTTGGACGTGAGCTTAAAGTGGAAAAACAACAAGGTAAGAAAAGATCTGCATGGTGTAGTTTTGATGTGAGATTGGGAAAAGATTGTTTTCGTCAAGCATCCTTGCAACAAATGAATGAGTTGACTACAGAATTTTAAAGTTAGGTTTTATCTTGGTTATCTAAAACGATGCATAACAGCATTTACATCATGTCGTTTCCAAGCCGGCTCTTTTTTTTTAATAGATTAAACTATATGATAAAACTTGCTGTGCAGCCCACAGTAAGCCTGCACTGTTTCAATGGTTGTAACATGTCTTGAAACAACTCAAATGTGGCAAATTTTAACAGTTAAGTAGCTTTCTGCACACTTTATTAACAGAGTGCACATGGTAACACTTTTCCAAACTAACATCTTACCCCTCATCTACAATGCAGACCAACAGAAAAATTAACTTTTTTTTTTTCAGGAATATAAATGGAAAATTTTGGAAAATGCTAAATTGCACATCTAATACACAAAGTGTTTATTGCAATACAATGCAATGCATTTTGGAAATTTGTTTAAACAGAGTCCAGATTTTCTGCTGAATCTGTTTGCACAATCAATTGCACAATAATTCTTCCTTGTTTTACTTCCCTGTTTTTCTTATTTTTTAAGCAGCTCATCTGTTACTCAGTCAGGGATCTTTTAGAATCAGAATCAGAATAAGCTTATTATCTTTGCACCGAAGTACAGTGAGATTATGTTCGTACAGTCGTTTGAAAGATGGGCAGCGTGCACGTCGCTGCTGCTCCTAAGAGTGCGGCCTCTTATTCTTTTAGACAGAAAAGGCAAAAAGGCCATAAGGAGAGGACAGTTGTATTACAAAAAAGATTTCTTCACACCTTGCTCTTCTTAGTTTACACATATCCCAGGAGAAATTTGATAAGTTGTCCCTTCAAGGACAAAGGGGGAGTTGGATTCAGATAAGTCACAATTGTTAATTTTTTTCAGACAGACTTGTCAGCCTTGAGTTCTGCTGGTACTTTCAATGATCCAAAATGGCCAGATTTGTGGGCATTCCACTGGTCCATGCTTATTAGCTTCCTCCAAGGTTGTCCCCAACATGCTGGAGAGTCCCAGAAACCGCAGGTGTCCTGCGATTCTCACAAATCGCTTCCATTTTACGGTTGAGCTCGTAAATCAGCTGAGTCTGCTCGAAGCACGAACCAAGCCTTCAGATAAGGTCGGCAGCTTTGCCATGGCCATAATTGCTGCTGCCGTCTTCTTTAATAGCCGAGAACATAGGTGTCCGACGGTGACAAAAAGCAGAAATTCTGCTATCATAAATCCAAAGATATAAATCTTCAGCATCCTCCTGAGACGATACAGAAAGGCACATTAACTTATCCGTGACATATCCATCCGCATGCGTCTCAGCTGGGCATGAGGGTTCTCCACGACCCGGTCGCTTGGTTGAAATTTTTTATCAGCTGTGTTGAAAGTCCAGTTGACCAGATCCATGGCAGTTTACAATTCGAAAGATGTGTACATAGAAGCTCCAATACACAGGGCAGAGAGAAAAATAAATAAAAACAGGAGGGAGACGGGAGAGGGAAGAAAATGTGTCCGTCTTGTTCGAGAGCGAGTGAAGAAAGCCACTTAGCCACTCGGTGTTCCAAAACCAAGTCTGGAACAGATAGATGTAACTTTCACTCCCTTTGGTTGAACAGGATTTCATGCAGGACATGAAAGTTACTGCAAACATGCAACACAATCACTTTCAGCGCCGTTTGGGTGAAGAACTCAGTCTGCACTGATCTGAGACCTGCAGCTGCAGACATGCAGATTTTGTTAAGATTTATTTAGTTGACAAATCATCTAAATGAACTGAACCAGTGGTGTAGTCTACATGACACACGGGTATACGGAGTATACCCACTAGAAAAGCACAAACATTGCAGTATACCCACTTAAAAGTGCCCAATGATGCGTGACATCATTACGCACGTGTCATCGATACGTTGAACGGCAGTTAAAAGCTTCTGTAACAATCTGTCGGCATGCAGCGCTTGTTTATTACGTTCGCTTATCCAGCAAATTATTGTATAATTAATACTTCTGTACTTACTACTTAACATGTTTTGCTTTGATACTGTTTTACAAATTCTACAACACGTTTTTAACACAAAGCCAACTGTTGTACAAAGTTTGTTGTTCATTTATTCAAATAAAAGCATCAGAGAAATTTGGAAATGTTCAATATGCTTAAAAATCAACATAAATTGACGATTACATTGTACTAACCAGTGTACATTGGGTTCTACGCACAGTATACGGACCTACTGTGGTAAAATTAGTTTTACGTTGGATGTTGGACATTCGCGCTCCGTGGCTTCAACGGTGTCCAACGTAAAACTAACTTTACCCCAGTATACCCACTACAAAAATGTAGACAATACCACTGAACTGAACCTGAACAGAAGTTTATCTCAAACGTTTGTTTCTTAGACTTGGGACGACCCTTTACCTGGACACTTCTTGTGGGACAAGTCACAGGTCTCTGTCTCTTCTGGGGGGCCCGTGCAACCCGCCTGACACTCAGGAGGACTGGCGCACACTCTCAGCCTCTTCCGGACTCCTTCTCCTTCACAGCTGACGGAGCAGGGGGTCCAGGGGAGCCACGAGCTCCAGCCCTGCTCTGTACACGAACGCACAAAGGTGAGTGTCACAGGTCACAGGGTCATCACTGAGTGTGTGTCACTGTGTTGCAGTGTGTGTGTGTGTGTACCGTTGCAGCAGGTGCCGTTACACGGCTCTACGTGTAGTACGTCTGCAGGTTTCTCACACTGTGATTCACCGATACCGTAACACGCCCTGCTTCTCTGCCTCACTCCCTCACCGCACAGGACGTTACAGAAGGACCAAGACGACCAGGGAGACCAGGCAGGTGGACTGGAAGCACACACACATTTTCATGTTCAGTTTTAAAAGCAGGCAGTTACAGCGTGAGGACAAGTTTTTACTATGGTTGCGTGTGTGTGTGTGTGTGTGTGTGTGTGTGTAGGGGAACTGTAATGTGTGCACTGACCCACACGACTGACACACTCCATCTTCTCTCTTGTAACCGTAGTTTGGGTTCTGACAGCAGTCGTCTTCCTCCACATCGCCAATCTCTGCTTCACACTCACCTGAGTTCAGATTGAAGAAACCAAAACACTGCAAACACTCTGCACACACACACACACACACACACACACACACACACACCGTATATTTACATAAGGAAACAGAAGGCTAACAAAAAGTCCAGTTTTATGAGGACATTTTGTCCACCATGGTGGACATGGTGACTTTAGGACAGACCTTCAAAGATGGACACGTTTTAAATAAAGTCCTTTAGACGTAAAATCCCACCGATGTGTACGAGAGAAGTGTCCAGGATTTCAACACTGGAGCACTTTACTCACGTGAAGCAAACAAAGAATTTGACCCGGCTTGTATTTCTAAAAGTTGTGAGGAGAACTTCTTCTTCTCTGGTCTTTAATCTGCTGAGTTTAACTTTTATTTGAGAACAAACTGCAAAGTGGAAACTACAATTTAAAGGACAGTTTTTTGCTGTATGTTGTTTGTGTTCAATTCATGTAAATGTTTTATTTTGTTTGTGAAAGTTGATGAAGCATCACTCCGCTGGACTCCATCTGACACTTATCTCTGAGACTTTAATAAACTTTACAAAAATAAAATGAAATTAATAGTATTTTAACACAAAATATTTTATGTTTACAGTTTTTTCTTCATTATAAGCCTTTAGTAGCTACATTTTGAACAATATGATTTTTAATTTTTATTTTACCTCTTTCTTGTTAAGTATTTAGATTATTTTTCTGCTTAGATTTAACAAAGTTTCTTAGTTTAAAAAACAACAACATGTTATTCTGTTTTACTGCTCAGTTGTACCGAGGCTCAGTGCAGTACATTTACTTCAGAATTAACCAGATTTACTGTTGATCAGAAGCACAGATTAACACATTTATGAACAATCAGATCTCTGAGCAAACACATAATTTAAATGATATACTGTAAAAAAAAATAAATAAACAAATAAAATCAGAAGAGGAGTTCTGGACTGACCTGAGCGCTCCACAGAAACCAGCAGGGGAACCAAAATCAGCAGAACTCTCAGAGGCTCCATCATCCTGCAGCGTGTTGCAGAACTGAAACTTCACTTTTTACTTTTCCTGCTTTAAACTGGCTCCAGCTCAGAGCTGGACCCCCCCCCCCACACACACACCACCCCCACCACAGCCACATTACTGGAGTAAACCACCAGGACACAGCACTGCCGGTTAGTTTTTGTGAGTAAAGGGAGTTTTCTGAGTTCACTGATCTGAAAACAAACAACCTTCATGTGATGCAACAGTTGGTACAACAGAGACACAAGTACACAC